ATTTTTTTGCGATTACTATAACTTACCCTACGGGAAATTAAAAAATTATATCTATAACATACATTTTTATGGCAAAACCAAAAAGGCAAGTATTTTGTTAAATGAAATCTACTTTTTACAAATGGTAATGGTATTGGGCTCCTTCAGGCTCATTATACTTCATTTATTTTTGTTTATTTATTTATTTGTTTATTTATTCATAAGCAAGCCGTAATCAATAATGATAAATTATTTCAGGCTCTTGCCAATTTTTATCAAAAGAACTTACAGATTTGTAAGTATATATTATCTTGGTCGAATAACATTAATTCAATTTGTATTAATATTTGTTTTAATAGTTTTATTATTTTAGTTATTATTGCGCATTCAAAAAATTGGTATAAGGAACAGGGAAAGAACTCCTGCAAAATCATATTCTATTTTGTAGTTATTCCCGGTAATCAGAAAAATATATGTAAATAATTTATTAATTTTAAATCAAAATTTTGAGAAAAAAATATTTCAATCTGAATTCACGTGGTTTCATGACCTAAAAATATACCATTTTTGGTTTAAAATGTTAGTATTTTTAATACGTTACTTGCCACGATAATATTAGATTTTTTTTACATTGGCTATGGTAATTTTATTAGATAATATAGTTAAAATTGTCAAAAAAAACTATTAATATATTATATTAATATAATAACTAATCATTATATTTATTGTCCCTAACTTAATTTTTGTCGATTCGATCAAAAATAACATTTGAAAATATATCTTTGGTGAGAATGGCTCAGTCAGTAGCGTGCCTGACTCACACACCAGAGTTACTCGGTTCGAGTCCTGGCATTGACATAGAATTGACATTTGATTTGTTATAGAGAGTTTGAGGAGAATTTGAATTGTTGGTTTGAGGTGGAGTAGAAGTAGAAGTTAAGAAGAAGAAGCAAGGTAAGAAGAAAAAGAAGAAAAAGAAGATCATGAGAAAAAGAAGAAGAGGAAAAATCAGAAGAAAATAGGCAATATGCAGTAGTATATGATATGATAAAAAGATAGATATATAATATACTAAAGATAGTATAAAATGTGAAAATTTGTCGTTAAGAAGAAGAAGCGAGGTTAAAAGAAAAAGAAGAAGAAGAAAGATCAGAAGAAAAAAAAATGAAGAAGTCAGTTATAAAGAAAATTGAAAAGTATAGGATATATAAAGTAGTATATGATATGTTAAAAAGATAATATATGATATATAAAGATAATATAAAATGTAAAAATTTGTAAGTATGGCTAAAGCTCTAAGTAAGCGAGGCTTATAAAAAAATAATCAAAAAAATATATATTGCTTTCAATTATTAATATTCATACAAATATTTTATTAGTATCATTTATTATATTAGTGATAGTGATTGAATTCTTTTTGTAGAATTAATAATATAGTCTAATAGATTGTGCAATGTCTTGTGTTTATAAATTGTTGATGCAAACATAGTTAATAACATCGCATAGTAACTGTTATCTAGAATTTAATACATTTATAGAGGGAAAGTTATTATAAATGACAAGGCACAAACATAAGCAAAATAAACATTCGTATCTGGTAAATCATGAATGAAAATAATTTAAATGGTTGTTATCGGTTAAACTGATCATTAAATATTGATAGACATTACTTGGAATTTCTTAGAGCATCCTGTTCAACTTTGCCATCTTTGCAAAAACTATATAAACATATATACAAATAACACATTGTATTTACATATGCACACACACATATTCTTGAACTTGATTCCTAGATATTATATTTTTCAAGATCTATAGAAACTAACAACACTATAGACACATAAAATATAATTTAATAAAATATAACACGCCTATTTTTCTGAATTATACTTTATCAGTAAATCGCTTCTCACGAGCCTCTAATATTTCACGGGGTTCATTTTGACCCTCAACTTGTAGACAATTTGTATTGCGTGTAATTTTATCTTATACGATTTTCATAGTTTTTTTTCAAAAACCGGTTTTAACCGGTTTCGATTTTTTATAAAAAAAATTTAGTCGAATAATTCTAATAAGAAATTTTAACGCAGGTTTAGACTGAAGTTATCTTATTGATCGTATTTTTTATGCAATGTAGTAGAACAAAAAATAATAATTAACCAGGTTTATGGAACAATTAATTATTACTTGTTTATATCTAATTTTTACATCTAAGGGTGTGAGTATTTTATAATAGCGAAACGAAGAACAACTATCGATTTGCAAAAGTGTTTTTTCCAATCTGGTACTTTTGGCTGCATTTGTTATTTTCATTTTTTATGGTATTATTCATACATTGAAAATCGATATTTTCTGCTAAAAACCGTTTTTTCCAATTCCATAATTTTCCTCCGAAAACCGCTTTTTAAAAACCAACGAACCCCAGTTTATGATTTTATATTATAGATATAGATTTATATTTGAATTTGACTACATAAAACCTACTTGAACAAAATTTTAGTAAATATTACAAAAAACCGTTCTGAAAGATCTAAATCATTCAACTCGTGATTAATAAAATATTTTTGTATCTATGTAAACAGAATCCTGAACTGAAATATGTTTTTTATGAGTTGTTTGTCAAAATATTTGTTATGTTCATTAAAAAAATGAATTTTATTTCTAAGATATGTGTTGGCCAATTCTCATACTTTTAAATTGAACAAAAATAGGCTAGTCCAATAGAGTCAAAATATAATTTCGCCAGTTAATTAAGTTATAATTATTATATAAAGCTATAATCATATTAACAATTATTATTATATAAAGCTATAATCATATTATTATGATCTGATTGGTCAAATAATAATTAAAATACTAGGTAAGGCTATTTTGGTTTGACTGGTACAATAGAGACAATTATCAAATTGTGCTTTAAGGCGAATTGCTAAAATTTCTCATATTTAAAACAAATATAAGTTCAAATGCTTTGAAAAAAATCTAAGTTTTTTTTTCAAACTTTTGAATTTCTGACTTTTAAGTTTTTGGCAACATATTGCAATTAATTTAATCATTTATTTTAGTAATAATATCATAGAGTTGAACATTTTGTATATATCGCATAAAATAATATGGCTTTACATAATTAACAGCTTTTTTGTTATTTTTAATTTTATATGAGAGCAAAATTTCATACAAATTCAATTGGAACCCAATATCGATATTTCAAGTCTCAAACTAAGTCTACTAAAAAATTAAAATTAACATTTATTGGCGCAGAACCCAAAATTTAGTGAATATATGCTAAGCATTGAAAGCTCTATAAAAAGTTTGGTCTTCAAATTGCCATTTTAAGCTCCGAAAAGATTGGACCGCCTTCATCAAAGAGCAAATATGGGTTTTACGCATTAAAATTGAATAATTTTTTAACTAATTAAATTGGTTCAGCTGTTTTGTCCAAAACACTTCCATACATACACACATTCATGCGTTATTTTTTCTAAGGTATGACAAAATGATCTGGAAAAGTAAAAATCTCCAAAGGTTATCGTCTTCATTTTTTTATGCAAAAACAGGAAACGTATTAGTAAAATGAAGTTTGTCTAAATTCATATCGCGCTTTTTCATTCAATCGGTATGTAAAATCATATTACTTTTGTTACTTTTACTTTTTGGTTTTCATTCTGGTTAGATTTTTTTTTTTAATATCTACGCCTATTTTATTATGGAGCATAAGAAACTTTTTGGTAGTACTTATTGTTAGAATGTCTAAATCGAATGCCAATCCAGAGATTGGACGTCCAGGTATAATAATATGGTTAGGATGTGGTACATAAATAAAGTACTATAAATCTTTTATCGTGTATTTAAAATAAACAATATAAAAGACTAAATATTAATGTTATTAAACATATTTCACAAGTAACATATTGAATCGTCATTTAAAGATCTATTTTGATTTTGACGCTTTAATTCTCGTAAGCTATTTAAATTTCGTAAGATTCAGATGGCGTGATTTGGTGTAATTTTAATTCTAATTAAATAGAAGGACTTTTTATAAAATTTTGAATGAAATTTCGCGTCCTCTGCCAACGGCCGGTGCCGCCGGGTTGAGCGGCGGTTGGATAAAATTGCTTGATTGCCGTGTGACAATTTGTTATGATACTGCGGTGTGTCAGTCATTGTTAGTTTATTCAATTACCTCTATGCTATTTGTTTCAGAGATTTCAATCACAAACTTACATACATATAAATATGTATGCATGTATACATTATGATCAATTTGGAATTTTGGAGTCGGCCAATTTCTTAATAAGCCAAAATATCAAACGTAAACACCAAGAAAATTGAAAATTATCACGCTTTATTTTATTGTAAAATTATTTAGTATTGCAAAGTTATTTTGTTAATATATAATTTTCTTTTAGTTTTTGAACAAAAAAAAACTCTAATATTTCTATATTCGCGTTCTTATCTTTGCTGCACTGTCCTTAGTTAATTTCCCGAAAAGCATTGATATTGAAAGGGCAAGTTCACGGTCAACGAATTGTAAAAAAATTTTCAGTATGTAATCACCAATATTAGAAGGCACCAATAAATATGTTGTTGTAAGAAATAGATTAACATTTTTATCCGAAATTTGGAATATCACTACTTTTGCAGTAACACTTTATTGCAACAATTACAGGTTTATTAGATTGCACTTTATAAGGCATAATATTTTAACACTTTTTAGGAATAAGCACTACACATTTTATACTCAAACACTCAATCAATTTATATGGAAGATGCTTATATATAACACCCTTAATCTAATTATTTTGAAATTTAAAAAAGCATTTCAATTTCCATGTATTTTTTCAAAACAAATGCTTTTAAAAGCATGCAGTGCAAAATCGAACAATTTAAGGAAAATCCAGTTTAACGACACCAGGAAAATTTTTTGGAACGCCATGAAAAATTAATCCGCGTTTTGACACTGCATGTGTAATAATTGTTATTTACGATGATATTCTAATAAACAAAATCAAAATTTGGCTTACCTGCTTGTGTGCTTTGGAATCCCGCCTGGATGAGCAGGAAACAAAAAAGGAACAATTGTGGTGGCCGCGTATTAGCCATCGTTCTGTTCATTCGCGGCGGCAAATCAGGGAGAACTGATTACTCAAACGTCCATCAGCGCCTTATATAGAGTTCGCTGATACAGATTAAATGTTGCTCGGAATATTTACAGAAGCACTAACCCTCAGAATCTCACATGCCTTTTCTTGTTTTATCACTGATCATACAAAACTGTTGTTTCCGATGATAGTAGTCGTACATGTCTTCTGCATTTTTGGACTTCTTTGTATGCGTGGGCCTGATCAATTGTCAATACGACGATGATGCCACTGTACCAAACACCATCGTCCAAATCTAATTGTAATATTATTATTTTTAAATCGAAGTTAAACTCATTTATTAAATTTTCAACTATGCCTAAAAAATTGTTTAAAATATAAATATTTATACATATATACATTTTTAGGCAATGATTAGTAGTCGTCAGTACTTAAATAAATTAGGGGTGCATGACATTGTGTTAAGGTAAATTTCTGGAACTTCCCGTAGCGTAATTTATTTTTTTGAAATAATAATATTTTTTTGAGAAATATGAAATTTTTATAATTTTATTTCTATTGTTTACATTTTTAAATAATTATATTTTTTTGAGAAATATGAAATTTTTGTAATTTTATTTTTATTGTTAACATTTGTGAAATAATTATATTTTTTTGAGGAGTATCAAATTTTTGTAATTTTATTTTTATTTTTAATGTTAATTTTTTTTTAAAAATTCGAAATGCCCGTCTTTATTTATTTAAACAATATAAGTGAATTTTAAGCATTATTGTGCAGAACCCTCAATAATGATAAAAATGTACTCATAAATAGAATCTCTAAAATATCTGATACTTTCATGTGTATAATAAGGTTTTTGTCCGCCAAATCCTTCTTTTATTTTTTTGCTGGATATCGAAAACCTCTGGGCTAGCCTTCCCAAAAATTTTATTATTTCCTCATTCCATCTATGCAAGAGAAATATTTTTTTAATTATTCAAATCGGACGCGTCGTTTTCTCAAAAACTGATTTACCACTTTTTGCACTTTTTGAGCCGTATCATCGAAACGGCTCGACCTGCCTTTGCCAAAAAACTAATCTGCACGTCTTTCCATCAACAAAAATTTGTATCCGGAAGAAGTCAATGGAATTATTAGTCAATGTAAAATGTTTTTTGAATCATTCGTATCGGCTGCTCCATTGTCTTAAAAAGTAAATTACCATTTTTAGATCTTTTTGCACCGTATCTTCAAAACGGCTGGACCTGTCTCGAAAAAAAAACTAATTACCACGTTTTCCCATCAAAAGGAATCGAATGTTTTTTGAATTATTCAAATCGGTTGATTCGTGATCTCAAAATCGTCGACGAAAAATAGTATCGATACATACATACACACACACATACATCATTTTTTTCTAAGGTATGCCAAATTGTTCAGTAACGTTTAAAACGTAAAGATATAAAAAAAAATTATTTTGGATTCTTTTGCGATTACTATAATTTACCATAAAAATGGTCTTTAGACATATAAACAACAAATTATCAGATATTTTATAGAGATTTTAATAATAAGTACAAATTTTGTTTACATTTTGGGTGCTGTATCAATTTTCATAATGTTTAACGGTTTGGCTACGACGCGGCGCTTACGCGCTTCGATATTTCGTTGCTAAAACAGATATACAAAGCGCGATCGCTTTGAAAAAAATTCATAATATTCTAAAAAAATCAAAATTTTTGAAATATCTCAAAATTGTCAAAAAAATAAAGCATTTAAAAATGTGAAATTACCGTACGAAAAATTCCGATTTATTATGTGTAATACTATTTTATTTTAAATATTGATACTTTTACTGATCTTTACGTATTCTTATGAAAGATCTTGCAGAATAAATACTGTGAATATTTCATTTTTAATAACATGAGTATGTCGAGGTATAATGGTTAAGAACGTTACCGATTCGATCTGGACCTCAGTGATTTCGATATCAAGCAGTATGATAACAAAGTTACATTTAAGGTTATAGATTTCAAATATTATTTTAAGCAAGAATCGCCTTTCATGGGCATTGCTGCAACATATATCAGCCGATGGTACTAGATATACGTATCTAGTCTACACATAAAAAGAAGCAAGATTGACCGCTGGGTTGCCCTCTCGAGAAAAATGCTAAGTTCTGATCGCTGTTGAAAAAATTATAATATGCTTCCTATATTGAAAACGTATATAATTCGAAGTGAAAAGCAACTGATTTTAAAGCAAGTTCAATATTGTTTCTTAAGTTTAAAGAATAGGTTTTCTTGAAAGATGCAAATATTTGAAATTAATACAATATTTCAATCGGGGAATCCGGTAGATGTTAAGCAATTGATATAATCGTGGTTACAGAATCTTACATAATATACTTAATTATAGATATGTTACATTTAATAGTCTAAACATGTTAAAAAATCCGATGATAACGTACGCACGCTGCGATAGTGTTAATATTTAATGATAACAGCAATTTATTTCAAGTTTACGCGTGCTCTCTATATATTATTTATTATTATTTTTTGAAATGACAGTGTTTGTTTATACGTTCATTGTATAATGGAAAGTTTCGGTAGATTTAGTATTCTATATTGAATTTCGAAGTGTTTTTTTTTAATTAAAACAAACATTTTAATACTAATTCAAAGGCGATTGCATGCAAGTTTATTACACCAAATTGGCTAATCCGCTTCTCAAAATTCAAAATGTGGTTAAAATTATCAACTAAGTGATGTGTGAAATTAATAAATAAATTAACTGTTTCTTAAGTGTTGATGGTAGTGTTAATAATAGAAATTAAAAAACTCTAATTCTAAAATTAATGTAGAATGGAAGTAGATTTGGCACACAGACACTAACAACAAAGCTCTTTTCAAACTATTAACCATGAAACTCTAAAAGCATCGGTTAAACTCTAAAATCATAAATCATATGATCCACTAAACGATTTACAGACAAACAAAGCTTCTTTTGGAATTATTAAGCATGAAACTATAAAAGCTTAAGATCGAACTTTGAACAAAAAATATATTTTATACATATATGTTTATACTCTGTTTGTAAAAATAAGTAAACAAATTTACATATGAATTATTTATTGAAGCAAAAAATTGAAACTCACAAAGCGACTGACAAACAAACAATAAAGCTTCTGTTGGACTTAAAGTACGAAATTCTGAAAGCTTCAGTTCAAACTTTGAATAAATCATATCTTATTGATACTCCTCTTAAACGGTTATTCGGATTTTGATAAATCTTTTTAGAGTTTATCAAAGAAAATTTTTGAAATTTAATGAACAATAAAACTATAGTAATATTGTAGAAATTATAAAAATATATAGCAAAAATTACAAAAAACACGTATCATTGTTTGACATTGAAAACATTTAAACCGTCATCTGCTTAAAATGCCAGTTTATTGAAATTTGAATTTAGCTGAAATTATGAGCCTAGATAATATTAGAATATAATATACAAGAAAAATGTAATGTCTACATTATTATTACCGAAAAGCAGCTGAGATGTGCTAGTAATTAAAATAATATAAAAAAACAGTCAGCAGTATATGTTGGCAGATGAAAATATATGATTCAGTTTAATAAATAACACAATAAGTCCAAAATTGCATATAAATTATTTTTTCAAGCTTATGCATGTTGTATTTTGCTTTACTTTACTAAATTATTTCAATACAAATGAATATTTCTTCTTATAAAAAAAATGATTCAGAATTCATGGGTCAAAAATTCATTTGTTTGGCATTGGATATGAAATATTTAGCAATTGTAATTGCCGAAAAGCAACTAATATATGGTACGCGATTATACAAATTATACACTAAACTATTGAAGGAATTATATTGGGTGGTAGTTTCAAAGATGACATAGTTCTTTTACCGCAGATACTATATTTATTCTTTCTGAATTTCTTATACTGATGAAAAACTGCAATTTTTAATACGTATAGCTTATGCTAAGACCATAAATGGGAATATTAAATAGGATATTAAAAAGTATAGGATAGAATATTTAAAAAATTGGAACTTAAATTGTAGACGTGGGTACAGGACGTCTGTCGGGTCATCTACTATATTTATATAATATTATGTTTAACTTCCCGTAGGGTAAGTTATAGTAATCGCAAAAAAATCAAAAATGAAAATTTTTATATATCTTTACGTTTCAGAGGTTTCTGAACATTTTGGCATACCTTAGAAAAAATGGATGTGTGTGTGTGTGTGTGTGTGTGTGTGTGTGTATGTACGTGTGTGTATGTATGTGCGGATACAAATTTTCTTCGACGATTTCGGGAACACGGATCACCGATTTGAATAATTCAAAAAACATTCGATTCGTATTGATAAGGAGACGTGCTGATTAGTTTTTGGCAAAGGCAGGTTTAGCCGTTCCGAAGATACGGGGCAAAAAGTGCTAAAAACGGTAACTCAGTTTTTAAGAGAACGGAGCGTTCGATTTGAATAATTCAAAAAACATTTGACTTGTATTGACAAGATGAAGAATTGATCAAATTTTCATGAGGGCAGGTCTAGCGGTTTCGAAGATCTAACGAAAAAAGTAAAAAAAAATGCCATTTGGCGGTCAAAAATGATCATTAGACATATGCACATCAAATTATCAGATATTTTATAGAGATTTTAACAATAAGTATACATTTTCTTAACATTCCTATGGGTTCCGTACCAATGCTTATGCGTTAGACAGCGACGCGGCGCTTACGCGCTTTATATTTTGTCCCTATGCAGTTAAAGCAGTACGATTGCTTTGAAAAAAAAGTTCAGATCTTCCACAATATATCAAAATAAAGAAAAAAAAATTTAAAAAAAAAAAAAGAAATTAAAAATTTTTTTTTTTTTTTTAATTTTTTTTTTCAAAAAAAGTAATTTTTTGTTCAATTTATAGTTTCTCAAAAATCTTATTTTTTCAAAGTAAATTTTAAAAAAAAATAATAATTTTTGGCGCGGGAAGTTTCAGCAATTTGCCTTAAGGCACGATGCCTTAATTGCCTTAAGACAGAATTCCACTTACAGCTAGTTATATTCTGTTTCCAACAATAAGTAATTGAATTTTGCATATGAATTATTTGTTGAAGCAAAATAATTCACAAAGCGACTGACAATGAGAGACGAGCAACATGGCTTCTTTTCAGATTTTTAACTATGAAACTCTAAAAGCATCGGTTCAAACTTTGAATAATTTGTCTATTTATATAATATTAATGATTATATTCTGTTTCTAACAGTAAGTGATCGAATTTACAGATGAATTATTTATTGAAACAAAATCATCCACAAAGCGACTGTACAAACAACAATTGATGATACTTTGATCATGATAATACAACGAACTTCGAAATGGTGAGAATTTAAGTGAAGTGTAGATTACAATATATATAAGAATCAATTCTAATGATATCGTTTGAGGAGTTCCTTTATTTTATTATTTGCATAACAATGATATCGTCAACTAAGAGCAAATTTATCTTCAGAATGAACTTCAATGTTTACATTTTATTTGCCTCTATGAAGTCATCATATAAAATGATAATATTAATAAAAATTATTTAAATATTGATTAAAAATAACAAACTAGTGGTACATGGCATCGTGCCTTAAGGCAAATTGTTGGAACTTTCCGTACCGAGAATTAAATTTTTTTAAAATGTTAAAAATTGTTTTTGAACTTTCAAAATATTAGATTTTTGAGAATTTTGTATATGTGTGTATGCGGATACAAATTTTTGTCTACGATTTTGGGAACACGGATCAATCGATTTGTGTAGGCAAATTAGATTTTGGGAAATGCACTACCAGCCGTTTCGAAGATTTGGGGAAAAAAGTTCCAAAAATGATAATTCAGTTTTTGAGAAAATGGAGAGTGCGATTTGATTGATTGAAGCATTTGATTTCTATTGACGAAATGAATAACTGATTACATTTTTGAAAGGCAAGTTTAGTGGTTTTGGAGATCCAATTAAAAAAGGAACTAGTGGTGTATGGCATCGTGCCTTAAGGCGATTTGCCGGAACTTCCCGAACCGTAACGAAATGACCGAGAAATATTAAATGTTTTCAAATAGATTATTATAAATACTGTAACATTTTTTAATATTTGTAAGAATTATATAAATTGAATTACAAAGTTAAAATTAATTGTTTAAAGTATATAAGTGAGCTTTAGATCTTTATCCAGAATTAAAATTAAAATCTGAATTATTCTCGATATACAATTTTTTTTTTTTTGTATAAAAACCAAAAACAATTGTTTAGTCAACACAAGCGGTTTGTTTTTTAGATCATTCAAATCGAATACTCCGTTCTCTTAAAAACTCGGTTTCTATTTTCTGCACTCTTTGCTCTATATCTCAGTAACGGCTGGACCTGCCTTTGTCAAAAACTAATCTACACATCTCCCTATCAATAGGAAACGATTAGTTTTTGAATTTTTGAAATCGGTTCATCCATACGCCCGAAATTGTCTCCAAACATACACACACACACGACCAATTTTTTCTGAGGTATGCCAAAATGTTCAGAAACCTCTAAAACATAAAGATAGCAAAAATTTTCATTTTCTATTTTCGGCCCATTACTATAGCTTACCCTACGGGAAGTTAATTACTGATTATTTGAGTATTTAAGCAGCGTTTGAGGACTTTGCATCTAAAAGCGCTTATACATGAATAAACTAAAATTAAACTTGTTTAATTAAAAATAGCACTGCTGAAGTGATAGAATATCTTGTTTGCATTTTCAAATGTACGCTTCACGCAATCTCGTTAAAGTTTTTTTTTCGATAAGTAGCTATTATGTATGCCGGAGAGCCGAGATTCATCCACAAGTCATAAACAAGGGTCACAATTGCTTTTATCAATTGACGACAATGCCCGACTTGATAATTCGATCTTAAAATAATACATTTATATAGATAATTGACATGCTAATAAACATAATGCTTCCTGTGAATGAACAAAAATTAAGATTCTATGCGTCGTAAAAATGTTTACGTCATCGATTGTCATCGGAATGTCATCGATTTAGATGATATCTTTGATTTTGTTCTTTTACTAATTATAAGTCATGTGGAACACATCCAGGGGCGTAACTACCGCCGTTTCAGCCGTATCAAAAATACGGGGCCCCCATAACGAGTGCAAGCAGAAAGCAACACAACAATTTTTCAATAAATTGAATAATTTTAACGTAGTTTAATTTCTGTTTTTTATCAAGAGGTATTGATTTTTAATTTGTAAGCTAACGCTTTAAGAGAATTTATTTTTGCTGCAATATTTCTGCAAGTTCAAGCAATCAATTCAATTAGTAAAGCTTTTGCACATCTGATAAGGTAATATTCTTGTCCACAAATCTGTAAAACAAATCTAGTTTATACATTCTTTATAGAAAATTGGAATTTTGAATTTTTAGAGTTGCATTTATAACATTTTTATATATATTTTTTTTTTGTTACTACTTGAATTGTTTGCATGTCATGATATGATGAAGTAAATTTTTTTCTGAAACTTTACAACATGCCAGTAATGACTTACAAAAAATTAGTATTTTATTAAGTAATCTTTTGAATAGACTGTGCGAATTATGATGTGAAAATTTATTGAATTAGTTTGCTAAAGAAAGCCAAATAATTTGCAAAAAAGATGGATTGCAATAAATATTTTAAAGAACAAAAGACAAAAGATAATGAAGCGTTGTTATGATGAGTTATCATAAGATGAGAGAATTTTAGACCCAAAATCTTATTTTAATGTATACTATTGCTATTTGGATATATTAATGACAAACAAAACAAAGATTTCAAAACCTTTGCGACCTAAGTAGTAACATTTGTCTTTTTGAAATCGAGAATTAATAAACGTTTCCGGAAAACTGTCGACTGAATTACTACAAAAATATCTCGATGGTTCTAGAAATAGGTTTGAATACAGAAAACTAAAAAAATTATTTTATTAAGGTACAATGATGGATGCAATGGGCTTGCATCCAGTTTTCCCAACAAGTATGCATTTTATTCTTGGCCCTTCCAGTTACAATCGCAACTGCTAAAAAAAATTTTTAAAATCAAAACTAATTAAAAATTACGTAAAAACTTTAGGATAATAATGTCTACCCTATCTGTATGTCCCTAGGGACAAAACTTTATAAAATTTTAAGATCAGTAAATAATTCAGTTTTTTTCAAAAAAAATGCAAGAAGAGAGAATATATATCTGGAATTATTTGAATACTTCTACATGAATCCTATCTTGCGCATATGGTCAGAAATGATATCTTGAGCTGAATTAAGCCTTTCTGCGATTTCCTATATTGTCAGAAGAGCATCTTGCTTTTTTAGATGTTCTCAATCTATTGAAGTTCTCAAGCAATTTTTAATTTTGAGCAACCCCAGGTGCAATAAATACTGTTAGAACAGTTAGTAAACGTATTAAACTTGTGGCCACATTTGGAAAAGAAGTCTTCAAATTGTATTTGTATGTGTGCTTTTCATGTTAATTCTCAAAGACGAATTCGAATAAATAAATTTGTATAGGCACCCGAAGCAATCTTAAATTAGTCGTGTATGGCAAATTGCCGAAGCTTCCCGTACCAAAAATTATTTTTTTTAAAAAAAGATTAAATTTGTTTTAAACTTTGAAAAAATTAGATTTTTGAGAAATTTTAAATTTTTGAAACGAAAATGACTTTTTTGGAAACTTTGGAAAATGTTTTTTTTTCTAGTTTGAGATATTTTGGAAATTTTGAACTTTTTTTCAAAGCAATCGCACTGGTTTAGCTGCATAGAGACGCAATATCGAATCGCGTAAGCGCCGCGTCGCCGTCTAACGGGCAAACAATGTTACGAAACCCATTGAAATGTAAACAAAATTGAAACACTTAAAATCTCCATAGAATATTTGAAAATTTGATGTGCGTATGTCTAATGATCATTTTTGACCTCAAAATGGTGTTTCTTTTACTTTTTTTACTAGATCTCCGAAACCGATAAACCTGCCTTCCCAAAAATTAAATCAGTTCTTCATCTAGTCAATACAAGTAAAATGTTTTTTGAATTGTTAAAATTGGACGCTCCGTTCTCTTAAAATCTGAGTTCGTTTTTGGCACTTTTTGCCCCGTATTTTCGAAACGGCTAGACCTGCCTGTGCTCAAACTAATCAACACGTCTCCTTATTATAATAGGAATCGATTGTTCTTTGAATAATTGAAATCGGTTGAACCGTGTTCCCGAAATCGTCGACAAACATTTGTATCCGCACACACGCATACATCTATTTTTTCTAAGGTATGCCAAAATGTTCAGAAAACTTTGAAACGTAAAGATGTATAAAAATTTTCATTTCAGATTTTTTTGCGATTACTATACTTAGCCTGCGAAAAGTTAAAAAATAATGCGATTTGACGGTCAAAAAACTTATAATATATTGAATAATTAATCAAATATGTTCAAATTGTGTGTGTCGTAACCCTTAGCGAAACGCCATTTGTACAATGTGGGTGAATATCCTCTAAGTCGCGAAATACGACGACGAAACTTTGACAGATGGAAAATGTGGACTGTGATTATTTCAAAACAAATGAAGAGTTGTATATATTGACATTGTATTTGCATTTTCAAATACATGATGCAAAGTCCTATTAATCTAATTTTAATTCAAATATGTATTTATACATTTAAATATTTTGTGTAACATGGAATCGTGTCCTTTATGTGGCTGCACTCTGAATAATACAAATAATAGGTTAATTGAAGAACAATGCGGCCACAAAAAATGTAGAAATTGCTTTATACAAGAATTTGCAGGCTGCAAAATATGTGAGCAGAAAAGTAACATACTTCTAAAAAATGCAAACAATTCGTCCCTTGCACAAAAAACAAATTTTCGATAAGAGTCCATCTAAAAATAATAAGAAATATAATGGCAAATAAAATGAAGAAAACTGAATGGACTATTCTTAGCAAGACAACTGCGAATGATGTGATGAAAAACATACATGATGATTTATCTGTTCGTAATATTAATTCTAATTTGGAAGAAAAAGATACATCGAAATTATGTAAGCCAAGAGATACAAGTAAAATAATAGTATCAAATTTGAAAATTAATAAATCAAAGAGTAATAAAAAGTGTAATAAATTTTCTTTGCCTTCACATATAACTATATTGGAAACAACACCAAATACTATTTATGAATGTACTATATGTAAAAGTAAATTCAAGTTTAAATATCATTGTAAATACCATGAAGCATGCGAAACAGGGGCAAAGCAATTCAAATGTGATACATGTTCAAAAGTAATTACTTTTTGTATTATGAACGCTATAAATGTAAATCAATTTGCATTATAATATACAATTCACTTTTTTTCAGGAATTCAAAACTTTGCCTCATTTGAAATACCATATGAAGAGTCATACCGAGGCATCACGTACTAAATGTGATATTTGTGGAAAACAGTTCTCACATATTGGTTCGCTAAAATCGTCATTTAAAAGCACACACAAGCAAGTATAATTTAAGATGATTTGCAAACATTTTGCAAAATTAAATTTAAGAATTTGATTGACATATGTTTATTTGTGATATTTTGTTCAAATAGTATCTTATCCAATATTTTGTAAACTTTGACCAATTTGATCAACATATTATAAACATTTTATTATAAGTGATGTTGAAAAATATATATATTTTAGGTATAAATGCTTATCAATGTGAATTGTGCACTTCATCTTTTAAAACAAAAGAATCACTGACGGCACACAATACAAGGCATAAAAAATGAAACATTATTTTCTTGTCAAAAATGTGAAAAAAGATTTAATGATAAATCTAATTTACGTAAACATATGATGACACATAATTTAGAACTTAAAAATTACTTATGCGAGTTGTGTGGAAAATCCTTCAAAATTCGATGGTCTCTTATTGCCCATAAATTAGCACACACTAAAAGCAAATTTCATAAATGTTCAAAATGTAAAAGTGTTTTTAGTAGTTATCCCAGTCTGAGACGTCATTATTTAAGTCACTCCGGTAAGCATCAAAATTGATAAATTTCATTTATTTATTTATATAATTAGTTAATGTTTTTTATTCGCATCTGAATTTTAGGCAAACATTATTTATGTAATTATTGTGATATAAAGTGTCAAAGAAAAGATAATTTAATAAGACATATTAGAAATACTCATCCCGGCAAGGATACAGCTTACATTAATAATAAATTGCATAAATGTGTTAAAAGAAGTTCATCTTATGACAAACCCATAAAAAAACAAATAGTTTTTGAAATGAATAAAGATAAAAATAAAAATAGTGATAAAGAAGATTTAGTACCAAATATAAATACTTCAAATAATATTCTGCTAGACTCTAATACAATACCACATAATTCAAATAAAGACCCAATGGATTACAGCAATGGTTTTTCATTACAAGAAAAGAAATTCAGAATACCTGTAATCAATGGACCCATAAATTATCTTTCAAAAATATGCAACATTCAGTTAATAATGTTAATTCACTTAATACATCCAAAAACGACAACAGTAAGGCATGTGAAGATCACCATATAGAAATTTACCGGAAAATACTTCAAGCACCTTCAGCGAGAAAAACATCAGGATCAAGTACTGAAACAAGTGGATCCATTGAACCTACATTTAACAATATTAATAAAACAAATACTTCTAAAAGTTTAAATGGTATTGACTCGCTGAGTGATGAACAAAGAAAAGAATATCAACATATTGAAATTTATCGTAAAATTTTAATGCCATCATACACACAAAAGACAAAGTAGATTCAAATTGTTACAAATCTAACACTCTTAAAGATCACTTCACAGAAACACAAAGTCCTGAAAAATTTCATGCAAGCATTTTGACTTCTGATAATAAGTCATATACAAATTATATAAGTTCCGACAAAATGGGTGAAATAAATCACAAAGATTATGATAACCATGTCAGCACAATAACTTTAGTTGCTGGAAATAAAATTATGTGTTCCTTAAATGAAGATGAACGAACTGTACCTACAATGATTAATCTTTAATTGAATATTAACTTTAATTATAGATATAAATATTGTTATTAAAAATCTGTAAAACTTTCAAAAACAACATTAAATTTATAATCTATATTTTACAGGATAAACCAAACAATTTGTAATGATCAATACACATTCAAATACCATAACATCTAAAGACATTTTTTATATCAATTATGTATAATGCCTATTGCTAGTGTTATTATAAAACTAAGTTATCTAACATTGCTAATCTATGCATGTCTATTAAATTTATGTTTTGTGCAACTATTGTGTCTTAATTGCAGGTTTATTTGGACTTTAATTAAACTAGTGTAAAAGCAAATGGCTTGAAGTGCAAAACTTTTAAACACAGTAATAGGAAAAAATCGTTACAATTAATTATTGCATTCAGAAACTTAATATTCATTTTAAAGACCTGCTTTCATGTAAGGTATTGTCATACAATAATATAAAAAATATAAGTTCTTTATCAAACCCAAATTGTAATAAAAGCATTATTTACATCACATTAAGTAAGTCAATACATATGTTTCATAGTAAAGCTATCACAATAAAAATGCGCATATGAAAATTTTCATTTTCATTTTGGTTAAAAATTGAGTTGTACATTTTAGAACTAAATATAACGACAGCTCCAAATATATTCTAATGCTCCAGTATAGTTACTAAAATACAAATATTTTGTTAATAAATAATTTGTTGAAACATAATAAAACAAATTATTCATGTACGGACAACAGTACTGCTTAACAAATAGTACCTATACCAAGAATGCTATTTGAGGCGCATGTCAATTTGATATATCTTTAAATTAATGATTTTTTTTCTTTTGATCATTTCTTCCTAGGAATGTATACTCAAAATTCAAGAATAAACTATCTGGATCACACGTCAATTAATAATCAATAAAAAAATAATAAACGTTCTTGAGCAGTTCCTGACAAAAGGTTCCATCCTCGTTTTATATTAACATACTGAATAATCGCTCTCATGCAAATTAGTAAACCTGTTAAACAATTAAATTAGTTAGGTATCAAATTATGAACTAAAAATACAGTTTATTTTTTTAAATACACTTTTATGGAGTACATATATATATAAAAGGAATATATAAAATAAATTTATTTGATAAGATCTTTTTTAGTGAAAAAGTGTTAGTGTATAATCAATCATACAGGTAATTAATTCTGTTTTTTCAGTAACCTTTTCTTAAAACTTTCTAGAACTTGCTAGTTTTTTAACATTTTAAATATTTTGTTATATAATCCACTCATTTATTTTTACCATTTTCATTTTGATTATATTGTCATATTTCTGTACATTATTTTTTCCACAATTTTATTCATTTTATATAAAAAAAATCCATAATCTTCTGCTTTGCTTAAACATATTGGTTGCTTAAATCTTATCAAGATCACGTTTTCTTGATAGATGTCGTGAAGATGAAACGTACCTAGTTCCAAAACGTCGACAGTAAATAAATTTAGAAATGGTGTTTTAAAAAAACTTTTTTGTTTTTTTATTACTTTTTGGATTTTTTGTTCGAAGGTCTAAATTATATATATAATTATTGTATGAGATATGAGTACATAAGAGAAACAATATCTTAAATTAGACTCAAATTATTGTTATTAACATTAATTACTTTAATAAATTTTTCAAATAAGATAGCACCCATTAAAAA